GTGTTACAGAGGGTTCGGCGAAAGCGGAGCGGAAGTCGATGTCTCTCCAGCCCGAGAACTTTCTCCGAACCACATGACTCATATTACAGTCCACTTTTGATAAGCTTTTGTGTTTTGGGGTCAATAGCGATAGGTAGATAGTATAGTGTATTTCTATTGATTGTATGCACTGACATGTCAAAGGGCGCGAGGTACTTTTGCTTGTGTTTTTATCGGTGAGGGACATCCAATTAGAGTTACCTCTCTTTTATCAATTTATGATAAAGATCTAGGGTATATTTAGAATATCAACCGTAATTAGATATTTTGAGAGGAAAATGTTGCCAGAAAAGGCTACTTTAGTCCTATTGGCTATTGTGGCCAAAGATAACCTCTTTGTTCAGTACTTGGGTGTGAACTTGAGGGGCCGGGGGTTTACTACTACCTACGCTAGGCCCTAAATGATTTGGGAGCCCGACATTCTTGTCGACTTTGTAGCATAAAGTACTTTCTTTTTTTACTCTATTAATTAATTGATAAATTACATACGTATTTGACAATTATATACCTTCCAAAGAAAAAGAAAATAGGTGACAGATTATGTCTCTACGTTGTACATCCACACATGCATAGTATAGACTATGTAGGCGGCGTGGAGGATAGTTGAAAATATGTAAACCTATAATTTTATGTTCTCACGAACTTTCCACATATTTCCCCGTAGTCCCGTCAAGCTGCGCTTCCAGCACCGCTGCCTTTCCACCTAGAACACTCTGAATAGCTTCTGGAAGCTTTCGGGCGAGCTCAGCAACAGTCGAGGCACGGCCAGCCCACAACTCACCACCTGCCGCAGCCTTGGCAATACCAGCATAATCCGGCGTTGGCGCAAAGGAAATATTAAGGTCTTCGTTCGTAGCACGAGAGCCGTCCCCTTCAGGGTGAACGAGCAGCATGCTTCGCCGGGGGGCATTCCAGCCTTTATTGTTCAGAACGATTGTCAAAACGGGGATTCCATAGCGGCGGGCGATCCAGTACACAGATCCAGGTACCGAAAAGAGGAATGTGCCATCACCAACAACCTGACAGACAAATTTTCCCTTCCCACGTCCTCCATGCAGCATGTCACTAGCAAGCTTAATACCAAGCGCACCACCGCCAGACCAACCGAGACCGCCACCTCCACAGTTAATCCACGACTTAGGTTCGGTAGCTGAGACTTGATCCGCAACAAAGTGCGTCATGGTCACGGACTCAATAGCCCAGATGGTATCAATTGGAACACCCTGGCGGATCTGAGCCATGAGATAGTTGATATTCAAGGAGGCTCCGCTGCCGCCTTCTGGGATCACAGCTAGATCGGATATCTCTTGTCGACGCTTCGAATACTCCTCGTCTCGGCGTTGGCCCATAGTGATATTTTCCTCGGAGCCAATGAATTGCTGTAGAGACTCTTGGGAAGCAACGTAATCGTTGATTTGCTTGAGCGCAGTGGAAGTGTCGGCACGGAACGCAGCCATCGAGTGAATGTAGAAAACTGGAATCTGTTGCTTCAAAGGGTCGACATCAATGTGAATAATCTTGGCTGACGCAGACGGCTTGAACTGGGTAGGTACCCAAGGGACATCACAATCTACCACAAGGATTAGATCGGATGTTTCCACCGCCTGGTGACCTGGGTATCTCAGTCCCAACCATCCAGGGTGGTTAGCAGGGAAGCACATGTCACTGCCACCAGTGTCCAGTACACGGATTCCCTTGAAACTATCTGCCAATGCGACGAGTTCGGTCACAGCCTGTGACCGCCTCCCAGAATACCCAGTAATGATAAGAGGGCTCTTCGAAGCCGCAAGCTCCGATGCGATCAACTCAACGCCGGAGGTTGGTAGGGCAGCCGGCGCCACAGGTCCCCAGACAGCCTGGTTTAGCTGATAGGGTTCGATATCCTCTTCCATGACTTCTCGCGCTCCGGTGAGGTACACAGGCCCCTGTGGGTCACTAGTTGCGAATTGCAAAGCCCGGCTGACTATCTGCTTAACGTTCTTGCCGGACTTGATCTCACCAGTGTACCGACAGTACTGGGAGACGATTTGCTTCTGATCCGGCACATCTTGGATCCAGTGGATATATTCCGTGCGTGATCCTCGCATCTCGCCCTCGATTGTGTAAGGCGATAGACCCGCGAAGATTAAAACCGGGGCGCGCCCGCATGAGGCGTTATGAACTGCTGCTCCGAGCCCCTGCGTGCCGACGTCGACATGGACGATTACTGCTTGTGGATTTCCTGTCAGTCGGGCGTAGCCGTCGGCCATGGAAAGTGCCACCATCTAATAACATATTTCATCGTCAGCGGGGCTCTCATTCATACTCCTAACTCCAACCGAAGTGCTACCGCCAAGCTTGGTGGGTTGCATGATACAATGGTTAATATACCTCATTGGGACAGGTTATGATTGTAGGGAACTGGTCTTTCTTTTCTTTCTGGCCTTTCACCATCGCCTCAAGGATGGAGGGGTGATCTGATCCCAAATTGACAAAGACATGGCTGACGCCACCCTGAAGTTGTGAAGGTTAGAATTAGACGTTTTCTAAGCCAAGCTGTTACTAGTACATACCTCCCAGAGGGCTTCGAAGAAAGCAAAAGATGCTGTGTAAGCCCTTCTAGTATGTGAGTAAAAATGACATATGAATATTTGAATGGGGGAACTCCATACATAGCTGGCTCTATGGTACTATAAAACGTTGAATAGTAAAAAGGATGTGTTCCAGGGCTCTGAATATCGATATATAAAGCAGAGAAGAGAGGGGAAGCACGTTGCTAATAAAGCACAAGATCCGGGGAAGCCTCAAATTGGGATCTCGGCTACAACTCCGAGGGCGGGGGGACCGAAGGAACACCAACTCCCTCTAAGGAATTCAATGCCTATATATTTCTCGGTTATACCATAATTTGAAAGGACCATCTCCGAATCTTTGAGAAGTTCTCTCCATATTTGACCCAATAACCGCAGTCGATGAGGAGCTCATGCCGGGAACCAGTCTCCGAACTAGAGCTCATATTCGTCTGGCTCCTACAGAAGTAATCAAAGGCTTTCTTGGACACAGCCTACCTTCAAGCATTTAAAATATGGTTATTCACGTCATGCTTGGAGAAGACTTAGCTAGTAGATCGAGAAAAGTGAGTTTGATCCAACAAAACGAGATGTCTGTTTGATTGTCTTTTCAATGTATAACCTCTGAGTGTAGAAAGCACCAACTATGGGAAGATCATTTAAAATCGAGTTTAAATAAATTTGAAAACCTACAGTAGTTTTTCTTATCTATTTCCGTGATGCTAGTTTAGCAGAAGAAGAAACTAGAGCCGCGTCAAAATGGGTGCCCATCTTGCGCCGAAGTCTCACCATATTCATCGTTTCACTTGTGATGATATCTATCCCCATTGTGACAGTTCCAATGCGAAGCTTCGTGCGACTGGATATTCTCCGGGCCTTTTGGGATGATGCCTTGATAGTTGCTGCGTTCGTATAGTGGCGCTGTATGATGTGACACGGTCTGATAGAGAATCCTAATTCCGATAGACTCTTTCAATACATTTTGATGCCTGCTGCATAATTAGCAATGAATGGGACCAGGCACATGTATGCAGACTTCACAAGCACGGAGATCTATAGAGGAGCACTTGTGGTATGTAATGTTTGTAGAAGATTTTCTGCTCGTGACTATCTCCTATAGTTACGGTGGCTGGCTCTATATATGGGCCTCAGCCAAAGTATCAATTGCTGTTGCGCTCCTCTGGTTGGCCGTCAAAAGTCTTACCGAGTAATACTTTGGAGCATTATTGCTGTTAATATCATGATCTGGCTTGTGATACTCTTCGCCTGTAAGCCGATCTCGCACTTCTGGCGATGAGTGGATGGCAACAGCATGGCAACATGTCTGCCCATTTTAACAAGTTTGGACATTGCTTATATTTTTACAGCTCTGTGACTATATTGTGTGATGCAGCAATTGGCCTATTACCCACTTTCCTCGTCTGGAAACTGCAAATGAATAGCCGGACGAAGTTTACGGTAGAAGGAAACCAACGGCCTAGGGAGAATGTACGTGATATTTTGGCCAACTGGCCATTTCGGAGATGAAGTCATTGCTAAATATAAAAAGTACAAGTGTGGCAGTGATATGCTGATTTCTACTTCTCGGACTCTATGGTTGATGATAATTTCCTTTGTATGTTGGTCGCAAAATCAAGAAATCTTAAACCCTTGCGAGAATCTCGCCAAGTCAGGTCACGATACAGAAAACCTTTGTACAACATACAAACATTGACAGAGGGGAAGAAATAAACATTTTGTTTCTTATGCATGACCCTAAAAAGGGTGATTGGTTAATTTAAGAGGTTTAGCGCATTTACATGCTCCATAGCCCTGTCACCAGGGCTTCTAGGGTTCAGCTCCACCCCTTTCCCTCCCGCCAGATCAGGCCAATCCACATAGTCATCCCGACTTTTGACAGCGGCATGGACCCCAAAAGTTCAGCACATATATTTTTATCTGTAATACGGTAACCCCGGGGAATGCTTACAGCCGAGCCACCCTGTCGTCTATCTTTGCATGCTGACCATAAGGCTGGCCATGTGGGCGGGGCGACGAAGCTGAGGCCATGTGTACGCCCGGGTGACTATTGGCTTGGCGAGAGGCTATGGCAGGCTGATCTCATGCAGCGTCTCAAATCCCTGCAGGAGCTGAAGAGAACACGAACAATGGGACGCCTGGGACACTCGAAACAAGGTTAGGCTGCCGATTGTGGCGTTGGGGTTCGTATACTAGCGGGTGGCCTCATGCAGGTAAACAAAACGTATGATCCAAAGCGACCTCGAGACGGACCCTTACTCGTGCAACAACGCTAATACAAACCTAGAAAAGGGTGTAAATGGAAAAGAATATATTAGATGGAGTCGTATCCACCTACTGTATTTGATTAAAATCCTCCCCAACAGCACAGCAAACTTCCATTGTACATACAAGATGTCTCTATGCGCCGAGATTCATGAGCCACAACACAGAGTCCGACAGAGAAGGGACTCAAAGTCGCAACCCATCCGCAAGCGCATTATCATCTGCTGCGACGGAACATGGCAATCCGCAGTGTCAGGAAAGAAAAACGTCCCATCTAATGTGACGCGTCTCTGTCGCGCCCTGAACAGTGTCGGAACCGACGAACACGGGAATCAATGGCAGCAAATAGTCTGGTATGATTCCGGAATTGGCACGACCTCAGGCCCTTTGGGCCAAAAGGTTGAAGGCGCCATTGGCCTAGGCCTGGAAGGGAATGTCATCGAAGCGTATAATTTCTGTGTCCTGAACTACAGACCCGGCGACCAGATTATGTGTTTTGGGTTCTCGAGGGGTGCGTTCACAGCCCGGGCCATTGCAGGTTTGATTTCGGATATTGGTATTTGCAGTAAACAGGATTTGAATCAGTTTCCCGATCTCTGGAAGGTTTATAAGAAAAATAAGCCCGGCGAGCGGTTCTATTGCAGTGATCTCTGGTTTGAGTGGATGGATGGGAAGGCGGATGAGAATCAGGGCGCTCGGGGCGATACTTTCGTATTTGAAAAGCGTCCTGAGGGTGACTGGGCTCAGGAGGGGTCAAGGGATGTGGAAGTTGTTGGTGTTTATGATACAGTCGGCGCCATCGGAATGCCGGAGGTGCTGGGGATCAAGCTGCCATCTTGGTTCTTGTGGTGGTCGGAAAAGAGTGGGTGGGAAAATGTTGGACTTTCACCTAGTAAGTATACCAACACCCCTCTTTGTGATTTTATGGTAGTCCGAATACTGACAAACGGTCCCCTAGATGTCAAACATGCATTCCAGGCTTTGGCCCTCGATGAACGCCGCAACGCATTCTCACCTACTCTATGGTATCTCCACAAACTTGGAAACGTCACTTCGGAGCAGATACAAACCCAGAGGAAGATGGTCGACCAGCAAGCTCAAAAATGGGATGATCTCTTGCAAGAGGCGATCCGCCTCAAGGGTAGCGGCAAAGCTAGCGATGCAGACGTCAACAATGCAGCTCGAAAGCTAAACCAGACTGCCAGAGCCTTAAACCAGGAGACCCGAAAGCTCCTAAAGTTGGAAGACGACCACAAACACCAGGACAACCCCCGCACATTGACACAAGTATGGTTCCCCGGCTATCACATTAACATCGGTGGAGGCTCGGGGGATACCCTTAAAGATAAGGGCGACATGGAAGAAATGTCTAATATCACGTTCTCCTGGATGCTGGACCAAATCAAACCTTACCTGTCGCTCAACGAGGAGTCTATCTCTGAAGAAAGAGAAGAGATGGAATACCATATTTCAACGCTTGTCGAAGACACAGTCCATGAGACGTCCTTAAGTTGGGCTCAACGCAAGGTCGCAGCAATAGCCTCAGCTTTCAAACCCAAACGTTCCCCCACGTCTTCCATTAAGTCTGTGGACAATCGACGCAGCTATGGCTGGGGAATAGGCCCACTGGAGGACAGCTTCACGCCATTTTACTATCTCAACGGGTCAAAGAGGCGCACACCTGGACGCTATGATCCTTTTGACCAAGATGGAAATCTGCTGGGAGAGACGTTTGAATTTGTCCATCCAGTGGTAGGATTTAGGGAGAAGCAGATCAAGGATTACACGCCGATTGGGCGTGATGTTAAATTTACCCGTCGGAAGGCGGTTGACGAGAAGGGCCGTGCTGGTTATGTTTATGATCTTGGAGATTCGCGCAGGCCCTTGCCTGAGTGGCGCCTAGGAGGACTTGACTCTTATGAGAGACTCGCCATCACTGGAAAGGCTGCATATGACTATGTCGACGAACTAGATCTATATTTGAAGACTGGGATCAAAACACCCCGTCGGTCTGCTTGGGGAGTTCAAGATGTTGACCTCGGAATTGAAGTGCTCAAAGCTGGGGGCTTGCGACCGGGGGATTTAAAATCGGAGAGGTCTCAACAGAGAAATCTCCAGTCGACAGGATTTGGAACCAAGGAAATGCAATTGAACAGCTCAGATGTTTCATATGCCGGGGAGGCAGTGAGTTCGACGTGATTGCTTTTTTTGCTTTCAACCCTGGATTGAAACAGGGTTTGGTTCGGACATGACTTTATGTGTGGGTTTTTTTGTGCAATACTTCATTTGATCTCTTTTTAATAATAATTACAAATGCCCAAATGGCCCAAGACAAAGAAGAAAAGAAAAGAAAAGAAGAAACAAGCAATGTATTCTTGTGGGGACATGGAGCATTCCGACGTCATAGGGCTGAACTACTCTTCCAAGTCCAGTGGAAGACCCCAGGTGGACGTGTACTTTGTAGCTTAAAGCAAAATATTTTAGGCATCACAATTGTTTAACTCCATTTGGATCCAAATCCTCTTCATTTGGACCCCATTTGTTTCTGAAAAGAAAAAAACTAGAAGCCTCGCAGAAGCCTCGCAGAAGCCTTCCAGAAATCTCAGGGCCAAGTGCCCTACGTCATCCCATGGTATCGTGGAACTTGACTGGAACAATAACAATATTGAAACGGCTTTGCATTGGTCGAGTTACTTGCTGTCACCTGTTCCTTCTTCGTTGTTGGGATCATTTTGACCATTCGACAACCCCCAAGTCCCAATTGAGTTCGTTGTACGATGGTACCACGCAAGGTGTACAATATGTGTCAAGGGCAGACAGTTACCTCGGAGTTAGCCCTTGACCCATCGCAGTGTCCACAGAAAGTCTTTCATAAGTTGTTTGAGAGTCACCATGCGTCGCATACATACGATGGCCCCGAAGAATCAGATGTCAACGAAGCGCCGGAATGGGAATCCTTGACCAAGCTGCAGAAAGCTCGCGCGTGCGGGAACTTTGGGTCTGTGGAAATGAGTGATCTATTTCTGAAGGTGAATTAACTTTCCATGTCGACATTGGAGGAGGAAACAAAGTCTAATACATGCCCACCAGGTTTATCATGACGCGTTATGTTGTTTAGAAAAGAACCCAATGTCAGGGGTTGTATCCCCCCAGCTGTTGGGGAGCACAGGAGTTCTACCACTGACAATTGTCGCCCCATTACCTGATCTCTGTCACCATTTAGCGAATTGCATTGTGCGCGCCGAACATGAAGTCTTTTTGGGTACCAATTTCTGGATTCACTCGGACGCATCCACATTAGTGACGAATGCCATCCGCGAACTTTCCAAACGAGCAGGAGAAAGGGGACAGAAAATAGTTATGAAAATGATCTATGATCGCGGAGATCCTCGCCAGGTGAATACTCTGATTGATGTATATTGAATACGATCTGCAGACGGATTCTAATGAACTGCTAGGCATGGGATCATAGATTGAGTGTTCGCGAGGACCAATATGTCGGCGGGAAAGTGAAACTACCTGCAGCGAGCGAGATCCCAAATGTCGACCTCCAAGTCATCAATTTCCACCGACCTGTATTTGGGACGTTCCATGCAAAATTCACTGTTATTGACCGGCGCATGACGCTCATACAGAGCAGTAATATCCAAGACAATGACAACCTTGAGATGCTGTCTCATATCGAGGGCCCGATTGTTGATTCTTTCTATGATGCTGCTTTGCTGTCGTGGGGAAAGGCTCTCGATCCCCCATTCCCACTTCTGAGCTCTCTAGCGAGGGATGCTCCGATACCGTGCCACGAAGAAAGCAATGATGGTATTTCTACAGAGAATGGAGATAAATCTGTTCCTGAGCATACTACCGACTCTCCACATTACGATAGTGACTTTAGACAAGAGGCCCGGAGAGTCAACGATTGTATTCATCCACAAGGTGATGAAACACGCACACAGGCTGTCAGCCGCCATCTCAGTATGTAAATGCCTTCACTATCTATGGCAATACCTAATAAATAAATAGATACAACTATCCAGCCTGACACAACAGGCGATGCACCAGACAGCGATCAGGATAATACATTCAGCCCTTATATGATCCTACCTCGGCACGAGCCATTCGCAATGGCATTGGTAAACAGGGAACCATTTGGATGTAAGTTCCAAACCATGGAGAGAAGCTCCTACCTAATATGCTTCTAACCCTCACTTTCTTCAAGCCCCAAACCACAGGAGCATCCACACCCCGCAAAACGCGGCGTGGCTATCTGCAATCAACAACGCCCAGCATTCAATCCTTATCCAGACACCAAACATGAACGCCGAGCCTCTAATGGACCCCCTCCTCAATGCTGTTCGCCGCGGCATCATGGTATCCTGCTATCTCTGTCTCGGCTACAACGACGCAGGCGAGCTCCTCCCATTCCAAAACGGGACGAATGAAATGATCGCGAATAGGCTATACAACTCCCTCGAAACCGACGAAGAGAAATCCCGTCTACGGGTATGCTATTATGTCGGCAAGGACCAGACTCGTCCGATTCATAATAGCTTCAAGAAGCGGAGTTGTCATATTAAGTTGATGATTGTTGATGAGCAGATTGGGATTCAAGGTAAATCACTAATAAAAAAACGCCACGAGAGAAGAAGTAGTATCTAACATTCTTTACAGGCAATGGAAACCTGGACACGCAGTCATTCTTCCACAGTCAGGAAATCAATGTCCTTATTGATTCCGCGCTCGTTTGTCGTGCTTGGACGGAGTTGATCAATCGCAACCAGAATACTGCCAAATACGGCGCTGCAAGTACGAAGGATGGCTGCTGGCATGATCCCGAGACTGGCGAGATTCCGGCGGGTTCAATGGGGGCTGCACGGGGTTGGCTTAGTTGGGCTAAGGGGGCCATTGGCGCCGTACAGCGAGTGAGAGGTGCTGGTGGATTCTAGAAGCTCATTTGCATATGTGCTTGGGTGTCTCTATCTCGGGACATTTAGTTATAGAGAGATTGGGGAAATCAGGCTGGTATCTCTTGTGAAAATGAATGATTTATGAAGATAGCCTCTTACGAATACTTCGGACTACGGTGCTGGAATCCATGTCTCGGAGTAGCAGACCACCATGATGTGCAAACAAAGACGAATAATTCGATATCAGCATTGAACAAGTCAAAAGGCCGTCGTGTGCGACCGGGTGATTCCAGGAAACCCACCGAGGACTTCTACAACATGTATATGTGCCCTGCACAAGATCTCGCCAAATTTATGAAAGTTCCATCGTCTTCCCAATTTTACAATAAACCAGACACAGAGTAACTACAATATCGCTAAAAACACCCACTGCTACATGAATGTCTCGCCCATATGACCAACCAATAGCTGACATAGTAAACTATGTCTACCACCACACCCTCAACCAAGACGATGAAACGATTTGGAAATGCGCGCGGACAGCCCTGCTGGACACGATGGGCTGCGCCATCGAAACAGCAGCGACAAGCACCGAATGCCGAAAGCTTCTCGGTCCCGTGATTGAGGGCACAGTCGTGCCGGATGGATTCAGGGTCCCGGGAACGGGATTTCAGGTCGATCCCGTGAAGGGAGCTTTCGATCTAGGTGTTCTTATTCGGTACTTGGATCATAATGATGCGCTTGGTGGTGCGGAGTGGGGACATCCTTCAGGTATGGGACATGAGGTTGGGAAAGGGATTGTGTCCGTGAGACTAAGATATGGATTGGATTGCAGATAATCTCGGCGCTATACTCCCAATCATGGATTGGCTATCGCGTGCAAGTTTGTCTGGTCGACGGGTTCATGCTGGTCCGCCGTTGACGATGCAGACGCTGCTTATTGCACTGGTTAAAGCGTATGAGATACAAGGGTGTTATCAAATGCAGAATGCGTTTAATGCCTATGGAATCGACCACGTGGTTCTGGTAAAATTGGCTTCTGCTTCTGTTGTTTGTTGGCTGCTTGGAATGACAGAATTACAAGCCGTGGCGACTATTTCTCATGTTTGGATGGATGGTCATCCGAACAGGGTGTATCGATCCGGTGCAAATACTATCCCAAGGAAAGGGTGGGCAGCAGGCGATGCGGTGAGAAGAGCTGTGCAGTTGGCTCTACTGGTGCAAGATGGCCAGCCTGGTTCGCCAGGGGCGTTGAGCGCGAAGCCATGGGGGTTTTGGGAGCGGACTTTTGGCGAGGCGGGATTTGTACTTCCACGACCATTTGGGTCGTGGACGGTACAGAATGTACTGTTCAAAAGCATGCCTGTGGAAGGGCATGCAATTTCAGCCGTGGAGGCGGCTGTTTTGCAAGCGCGTCGATTTCGACAGAGGGGGCTGTCCGATCCTCTCAAACAGATCCAGCGAATAGATCTGCGAACGACTGCTGCTGCCTTTTTGATCATCAACAAACAGGGGCCGCTGCATAACGCTGCTGATCGTGACCACTGCATTCAGTATGTGGTTGCGTTGGCTTTCTTGAAAGGTAGTCCGCCAGAGGCGGCGGACTATTTAGACAAAAGCCCATGGGCGAATAGCGAGGACCTTGAAGCCCTGCGAGGAAGGATCGTGGTGCAGTCCGACCCTACGCTCACGGAGGACTACTTGGATCTGGACAAAAAGAGTATTGGCGCAGGGATGACGGTCAATCTCGCAGATGGGTCCTCGTTGCCTGAAATACTGATCGAGTATCCAGTAGGACATGCGCGGAATCCCAAAACACCAGCTGCGGTACAAGAGAAGTTTTTCCAAAATATGGGGCTTATGTTCTCTGCGACAGAGATCGGTCGGATATTGGGAGCTGTTCAAAATCCAGATACTTTAATCTCGGATTTCATAGATCTGTTTATCCAGTCATCGGCCAGGGCAGCGTTGTAGAAGGCAAATATATCTGTGGGTACTATGAGTTGGTTGTACTAGCCAAAAAAAAAAAAAAAAAGAAAAAGATCTTGTTTGGGTATCTAGGTATCTAGTGCTGTCGTTTCGTTTGGTTTTTCTCAATCGATTTTCCCAACTCCCTGCAGCGTCAAATAAACATCTGTCCCCCATCCCCACAGGCTTTGTACTGCAATGCTACCACCAAAGTACTCAGCGTAGGCTCGGCCGAGAGGCAGCCCATAACCAAGACCTGCGATACTGCTGAGCTGGCCACCGCTAGCAGAGATGGTATTCAAGGCATCCATGTTACCGTTCTCCGAG